AGAAAGCCAGGAGGCCAAACTTCGAGTGAAATGCTCGAAACCGAGAAGAATGGCGGACACGTTGCTCCAGCGCGATTTGTCGCCAAATACCGGCTGATGAGATGAACCAAGTGAACTTTCAATACACTCCATGAAGCTTTTACTTCGCATCGACTGAGCAGAAAATAGGCAAAATATTTTGTTTTTCTTACATAATCTGGTAGCTTCGGTGCCGGCAGCCGAAACCTCAGAAGGCAGTCGCTTTAGCGACAATTCAAGTACTGTACTCTGCTTCTATCCAATTTTGTGATTCGCAATAGCTTTTTGATCGTTGCTCCTGCACCGAGAGCCGAAACGGAGGATCAAACGGAAAATTCTGCGGAAATTCTCGTCTAACGCCATTGTCTTCCGAAAAGTGGAGGATCAAATGATAAATTAATTCATCGACAAACATTATCCGATTTCGCTTTAAAACATTTTTTGTAAACGGACAAAACGCCGACAACCAAAAAGTAAGGAATTTTTCGATCGCCCTCAGCGGCGGTTTTGGCAATGAGCATTTATGCAAAATATATCTGACGGATGAAAAAATCAGGTGCATATTTTTAGGCCAAACGTTTGATCAGATGTTAACACGGAAGGTGCGAATTATGACGCAGCAGCATATAATTATTACCAAGTTTAAAGAGTTGGTTCATTATGTTGCAATCTTCTTCTTTTTCTGTGATTAGATGATACCGAGTGGACTTGACAATTCTTGCGACTTCTGCCAGAGGGGGGATCGACAGTCGATCTGTGGGGTCAACTTCAATTTCTTCGATCACATCATCCACCAGCGCACTTATCAGTTGGAGCTTTGCGAAATGTCTTGTGAGCTTGCACGCTAAAAGTTCAAAGGGGGCATCGATGGCACGAGTCTGAAGTCAAAAAATGAGGGCAAAGAATGGAAAGGGATAGCAGTCAAACGTAACACCGGCTTACCTCTTCGATAGCCTTGCACGGATTGGCCATGTATAACTTGCACATATCTTCTAAACGGCGTTGAGGTTTGCCGACAATGCGGTTGTAACTAGCGGGTCTGCGACTGCATGGGCTGTCGACAGCGAGTCTGCTGCATTCGAATGAGGCATTCTGCAATTGGTGCACTTTTTGTGTGACTCCCTGAAAATCGTTGGATTTAACAACGGATTATTAACAGGCAGAGATGGAGAGAAGATCAGCAGGTCAGAGACTTTACAAAAACAATATTTTTCTGTGATCTGAAAGCTATATACATCCAAACGCCGCCGTTGCTGCTTCCTAACATGAATGATAAAGGAGGAGGGTTGGGGAGTGTGGCGAAGTTTCGCAAAACTCACCCACCTGTCCCTCGGAGTATTGCCGCCATCGAACATCATACCAGCTGGGTTGCTGACCGCATCACCAATGGCCGAACACGCCGTTGGGGAACTGAAACGGGTTCAGAAACGTCGGTTATCAGATCCGGCTGCACCTTCTCGCAGCCGAGGAAGCAGCAGCCAAACGGCTACGGAAGATGGACGAAACGACGAGATGCTAATCATACGGGGTCACTATCCGTTCTGAACGGAGGGGGCAGACAAAGCGATGTTATTACAACACGTCAGAAAAGCCCTTAAGAGAATGACACCAAAAGTTGGAGCTTACAGTTAGAAATTGGAATATATCCTCGCTCAAAGCGCAAGAGCAGAAGTTTGTTGATTTAGTCGCAAAGTACCAACTCGACATGATTGGACATTCATCAACGAAACACCAAGGCTCTGGACTCCTGAACCTCAGCGGGTGAGTGCTATTCCATTAAGGCATCGATTTCACGACGCGCGCTCACGCCGGTGTTGGCGTTCTGGTAGAACTCAACCTCGCAGAAAGAATCATTGATTGGAACCCTGCCAGCGGAAAGTGGTAATCCTCCGACTGAAGCTACAACAGACTAAAGTGTTGACCTTGGTACAGGTCCATGTGTCTAATTTGGAGGGAGAATATGATACCTTCCATGAGAAGTGCAGTATGTTCTGTTCGAAGTGCCGAATGCAGAGTGCCTCATATTCATGGGCGATTTTAATGCGTACGTTGGAGTAGACGCTGAAAACTGGAACGGCGTGATTGGGAAAAAACGGCCCTAGCGACCTCAACAATGTCGTCATGAAATTGTTACGGTTTTGTGGCATTCTTCGAAGAACAAAAGAGCAGTTTGAACAACTCTTTAACCCTGCGTAGCCACAGGAATACTCGCCTGAATAGCAGGGAAAGGAGATTACTATTTCAGTAGAAAAATTACACAAGCTGTGAAAAGCTTGGAAAATGGGAAAAATTTGTGGAATTGTTTAAATCCGCCCTGGATCACTCATTGAAATGGGCAAACAAGGCGTGTGCTGGCCCAATTGTGCCCGTCAGACTACAACGGTTACGGGAAAGATACGATTGAAGTGGGAGAGGAGGAGGGTTTTGGTACCCCTGTTCAAGAAAGGAGATTATAGGGAGGTATATATACTTATTCAGCCTCCCAGCTTAAGTCTGCACAAAGGTGCTAAAAAGGAGGTGTCGCGGAATAACTGAATGAAAAACTGAGGAGCGACGTGGCTTCCATTCTGACGGAAACATAAATGACTAGATATTCCCTGTTTCAGATTGTTGAGAAATCGTGGGAGTTCGCTCATCCGATTTTGCTTCGTGGAGCAATAGAAAGCCTATTACTGGATTCCGCGCAACAATCCATCGCGTGCTTGCGAGCATATGGGATAGATAGCCAGCTGCTACATGTCATCCAATCACTGCATTCTGATAGCAGGTGCTGTGTCAGAGTTAATGGCGTTAAGTCGAAACCATTCAGTG